CAAAAGAGAAACATTTTCTAGTTGACTACAAAATATGAACTAGATTTCTACATAACGTGGAACCTAAAGATATGATACAGACTCTCTTTTGCTTGATATCTTTCAGAAAAGCTCCTTCACCACGTAAGAGGTCTTATCAAGCATCACCAAATTTCAGGTGAACAAGTTACCTTTCAGTCTATTGTTTCTAATCTTAATTCTGTCGATTCGCAATAGAGTCCTTCCATAAATCTACTAGTATCTCTTAGTAAACTTCAGAAAAGATTTGACTGACTTCACTGGCTGTAGTTTCTTGCTTGAATGCAATATTTTAAATTGAACTAAACTTGAAAAGCCTAACAAGTATAACAGAAATTTGTTAGGTTACACTAATCAGTGAAGGATGAAATATAGGCAGCTTTGTGTACAACTGTTCTCATCTCCTAACAGTAAATATAAACCCAGTGGTTTTCGATGGTTTCCTAACTGATGTTAGGTCGACACAGAAAGCCACTTGATTGAACAATGCATTTACTTTGTCACAGGTTAGAAAATGGGTTGCATCTCTTATATATATATATATATATATATATATATATATATATATATATACTAGATTTTTTATGGTCGTTTGAAAATCCGTTGATGAATATCACACTGGAAGATTAGCAACCAGAACTGTGAAACAAAGCGAACCACATTAAATGTATGGGATTAAATCCTCGGAAAATAAAAGACTACTAACTACAATAAGTTGATGATCAAACCAGCGTTAAATACACTGGAATCGTAAACGAATGCCACTTACCTGACAGAAACCATTAATTAACATTTTAGTGGTTTTAAGCATAAAGTAATTTGGTGGATGGTTACTAGCAGTGGAACCCAGGATTCGTATTTTGTCCTATTTTTGGGGCTCATCAACTGGATTTACCTGCATTTCCCAGTGGACGGTGGTGTTCCCACTCAGCCTCGAACCCAGTACCCACCATTTCAAATGCCAAGGCGTTATTCACGAGGGATGGCTGTCGTGACCCAAATGATCTAATGGCTAATGCTTTGGCTTTCAAATTGATGGATACTGGGTTGCAGGCTCAGTGGGAACACCATCGCTCGCTGGAGAATGTAGGTGCATCCAGTTGAAGAGCCCCAAATAAGATGAAATGCGCATCCGGGATTCCACTGCTAGTCACCATCCACCAAATTACTTCATGTTAATGCTCAGACATCGTCGAAGCATCCACACAAGCAGCCGACATGTCAAAGAGGCCGAAAATTTCTGTCCAATTAATCAATCAAGATTGAATTAAATATAAGTAGTTTTTAAACATGGTAAATCAAATCAGTTCGAATGATGGACTCTTTTCTTCATATTGTTTTCTTTAGTTTTTATTAGGATTTGAAGTATGTAGTTTACCTCAGCTCACTTCATTAACTTTGTACTTGGGATTCACTTAAAACTACTGTTTCCCAGTTAATATCTGTTCGCAATGGGATTTATGCAGAGACACTAGAATTATTTGTTAGTTTTTATAAAGGTGTATAACTCACTGAGTTACTGATCCATCATGGAATCAGTAACATATTTTTTTAAACCTTTTTTGAAGAGAGTAAATAATTTTTGATAGAAGGTGAATAAAAGAGATCAGTCATGACGGGGTTTGGTGGAAAATCATTACAAATAAGCGTTTAAGTGCATGGTTTTCGAATGATCAACAATACTCCGTGTTCTTGTTACTCTAATTGCGATTCTGTTGATCAGGCGTGTGATGTAGTCGACACGTTTAGTGAAATAATAGTGACGTACGCTCTAATGTGCCTAATACCTTGTGTTAAGTAGAAGGAATTAAGCTGTAGGAACTTTTGAATCTAGCTTCTATGTACCCTGCCACAGTGCCAGAGTTCTACTCCTATGTTAACGACACTTTTATTGCCCTTTGATTTGGACTTGTACACATTAATAATAACCTGCTCATTTGTTTCTATACTATGTTCCATGGTAACGGAAGAACATGGTGGCATTTTGTAGCAGAATAGTTTACTTGACAGAATTACATAAAGTAATAGCAAAATATAACAGCCTTAAACTGCAACTTCGATTCGTAAAAAGTATTCGTGTTCCGCTCCTTTTGTTTTCATTTCAAACTGTTTAAATTGGTTCACAATTCTCTTGTTCACAAGTTAATCCATCTCTCCAGTACACAAGAGTTTTGCAGAATACCTCTCATAGTATACTACTTACAAATGCTTGTCAGTGGCACATGCCAAACTATCAACGTATCGCTCAAGTGTTAAACCTGAATAAAATTTCAAAAACCTTTCATTTCATACCTTCGGGAAATAATCGATACGGTAGGATTTAAAAATGCTGTCTCAGCTATCATTTGCATGTTTGTTTACAAATCTTTTCTGACTTTGGATCAACTGACTATTCACTTATCTGATCTATTTATTTCTGTATTATTACCACTAGTAGTAACCGCCTCTGTCATATAAAGACATTATTGAATGTATTTATATACAACTGAGAGATTGATCGATATCTTTGTTGAGTAGGTCATTGGTGAGATTAAAAAACTTGTACTTTAATCCAGATTTAAAGGGAAGGGTCAAAAATTCAGGAAATGCTAATAACAACCAACAACAATTATAAGTCCGATACAGGTTACTTACTTATTTGTACCTAATATACTGGATATTTCGATAGTTTGGTCGATACTTAAACCTAAGTTCTTGTTAGTAGTCTAGGCGTTATCATTAAAAGAAAGAAGGGTTTTTGGGATAGCTAATAAACAACCATAGATCTGTCACCAAAACAGATAACCCACTCATTGGAACATATTATAAGACGTGGTGCAGTAGAACGTCTGCCTAGTAACAATAAAATCAATATAAATGGACACTAGACCATGGGTTAGCGTTGTTAAAAATGATGGTAAGTCAACTTTTACTGTCTCTTAGTAAAACAGCTTACATTTTTGCCTATGAATTTGTATATATAACATGATACCCAATAAACTTTCCTATAGTTGTGAATTATACTTATTATCAGATATTCAGCTCGACTGCAGTTAACTGTATGCTATGCGTTCCTGGACTACCTTACGTGACATAAGTTCACGAAGCTATCAGCGTAATTTAATGAAAATTACCTTGAATTCAACACATAAACTGTATTTTAGAATCTAAATACCTGTTTTATGATCTGTACCACCATATAATGGTCATCAACTTATTCTTCTTACGCCACCACAGCTGGAAGTCCATTAGTTTCGAAATAGCTACTCAGGTTATCAATATTGGTCAATATGTTCCGATGTTTTTTCTCTCAGTATAGTTTTACGGATTACTATTAAAGTGTAAATCTACATTTTGTCTGCTGAGAAATACAGATAAAGCACTAACCGTCTTTCTACCTAAACATTTAACGGACTGTTTTTGTCAATAGCATGTAAGAAAGTAAACTCAAAAAAGAGAGAAAATATATTTGGTGATCTGAAGAAAACGTTGTAGCGTTGAGAACTTCATCGATAAATCTTTAGTTCTTTGTCTTAGTAGAAAGTATCCAAACGCCTTACTTTATGAAGGCTTAACAAAACAACTTTGTGTTTTATATTTGTGTAACTCAAAGTTGTTACTCTTAAAATGACACTTATTCATTAAAGAAATACTTTCCACAATCAGTTTTTGAGACAAACTAATCTTCTTGTTTTCGGGTTTTATGCATTATTTCTATGATCTTCACCAATGCTCGATTGAATTGGTACACTTTCATCTCAGTTAGTTTAAAATCTTGCCGTTCACCATCATTTACACTTGATTCTGTTATTGTAACAACAGAAGACAAGGGCCAGGCAACAGATCGTTTATTAAGGAAAATCAACACATATTTATAGATTTTAATGTACATTATTGTAGATTATTGTTAGTAGAAAATACAGTCTTTTGATTGGTTGTTTCTCACAGAAAGTTAACCTTGCATCTCTTTGTGGCTGTGTCAGATCATCCATATGCTAACTGTATCCGCCTACGCAAAGCCTTTGTTCTCATTTTCTCACCACCAATATTGGGGACATAAACACTGACGTCAATTACTGTCTACCAACTTTGGCTAGCAGCCAGCTCTCACCACATTATAACTTCGAATTAGTTTTAAATTCATTCTTTGCACAAAAAAACCGTACTCAAACTCAAGTTCCTTAAAACAATAATAATCACTTTATTCCAAACAATAATAATTATACAGAATAGAATTTTCAGCGTTTTTATACAATTTAGCTTCTTTTATAAATATGTACATACATACAATTTAAAATAGTAATGACAATATTTATAATGAAACCACTATAAAAAAGAATGTTGGTGGAAACATAATGAACTATAAATAGATAATACCATGGATAATACATGTAATAATAATCCTAGCTTATACTCTGCAGTTCAGATTACTGATTTAAAAAGTTTTTTTCTGACATCTGACTCTTCACACAAAATCCATGCTAAATATGGTATGGTAGAATTTTTATATTTAGTTGTACGAGTGTAAATTCTTATGAAGTTTCTTCTGGTTTTACCCGAAGAGATACAAGGAGAAAATTAAGATTAAAGAGGATGTTCAGTATCAGACAAGATAACTTTAGCCAAATGCTTGCAAGAATTGAAGTGTCTATTGACAATAATGTCAGTTAGCTGAGTCAAAAGCACACCACTAACCCTACTTACAGTCTTCAGTGTTCTACGTAATATGACAAAGTCTTTTTTGAGAAGTCCAGGAAAGAATAATGGAGAACAATACAGGAGAATGGGCAGAATACATGAATTAACAAATTGTAAGAGAAGAGGTTGAGTTATGCTAGCAGAAAGTTTCAACGAAAATTTTCCCTGGAAATCAACAGAATGTGAGACAAACACAAAAACTTGGTTTTAATATCATGAATAGCGTTTTTAAGACAACTAGTCGTTTACAGTTCACTGGTTCTACTTTTTTCGTTAAAAAATAGTTGTTTATTTAACTTCATTAGGTGGTGAAGCTGAAGGCGAAGAAGAAGAAAAATTACCCACATGTATGGATTACGTGATGCACTTTCTAACAGTTTTCTGGAAAGTTCTCTTCGCATTTGTCCCACCAACAGGTACGGTTTAAGTGTATACATTATTAAAATGTTTATTTACATTCTCATATTGAAAAGGCGATTTCAGTTTAGTTATGATTATATTAAATACCAAGTTGCTCTTATTTGATTTAATTTTTGTTTAAGAATTTCGGTAATTTTAATATGTGTAGTAATACTATAATTTATCTACAAGATACTACTTCAAGTGTATGAAATGTATATCTAAACATTTTTAGTGAAGTCATCCGTTTTCTGGTTTCATCTTTTAACTGCTTTTTGTTGGGTGACATCATTAAAACTGTTCTTTATTTTCAAGTATTGGTTTTGTAGGGATTTTGTTTGATTGGTTGGAGGATTTCATCATGAGCTGACATCACTTAGAGAACCACTGCAAAGTCTGGGAGTACTGAACAGCTGTTTCGTCTTTATTTGACTGTTCAGAGTTTTATAAAATCAACAATTTCAAAAGAAATGTTCCAGAATATCTAGAAAAATATTCCCTAATATTTGTTTGAAGGTGTAGTTGTTAAGTCCACACGGGAATACTTCTGAAGCAAACGCATGCAGTACTCTGACTTGATGGTATGAATAAACACAATACAGTACAACTTTGAGATTCAAATGATAGAAACATCTAAGGTACAGCAGTCATTTTCATGAGTCAATGGGTCATATAGTTCATTTCTTCTCCCGGTTACCTGTAATATCATAGTGTATAGGATGAATATTTGATTATTTCTCAGTAAAATCTACCAGATTCCACCTACGGACTGTAGGTGGAAACATTTCTTTCAGATGTAAGTGTTATCACCTGGTCAAATATCAAGATATTTTGAAAAATCAACATGTTTAGTTAGGTATAGTTAATCGGAAATAATATTAACCAGTTCGGCGTTGGACAAGCGAAATAGATAGATACTGTTCAAATCAGCTCAATGTGTTTAGAAAATCCAACTAATTTATATGAACAGTTACCAGTCAATAGCCCAAAATACTCAGATTTAGGGTGAATTACTAGAAATGTTACGAGTCATGCAAAATAACAGTATTTCTTTTGAAACACGCATGTGTTTTACAATAAGTATCTGATTTTGCTTTGTTCTCGGATTGATGGTTCAGTTTCTTAGAGGCATTGTACATAAAAATCACTGTAATTATTCAACTCGTCACATTCTTATATTGCCTTACATACAAAACTAACCTAGCCTGTAATTATTCCTAGAGAATGAGATTTAGTTTTACATCAATAAATTATTGTTTAGAAAATGAAGTCATCAATTATACTATTTTCACCAACAGCTGCAAATTATGTCGAGTTATATAAATGAAAAATTACTAGGAAGTAGCGTTTTATGATTGTTTAACTATAGTGTAGTCCACTTATCGAATTCTCTATGTTCTTACCTAGCCCTGGCGTCACTGAAATATTGTATGAAGAAATGGTATATTCAAAACCTTTCAAAGATTCTAGATGAAAAACGAAGAAAGCTAACAACTATTTATTTTCACTTTACAAGTGTTCACTAAAAGTATCCCATCATTACCTAGCCTGTAACATTTATATTTCCTAACAAAAAGTCATGGATACTTTTGGTTGTATTTGTTTGAACCATCTTACATAAATGACAAGTAATACAAGTAAAAGTTTCTCCTCCTCAGAATACGAAAACGAATTACTGTTCAACTAACAGTCTTTTCAAACCTCAAGTTCACATATATCAGCTTAACCCATAACTTATTACTTCAAAATACATACGAGTGTACTGTTTATGTCTTCCGCCTAAAATCAACAGGTGTCTACTGCTACCAAAGAACATATTACTTTTTGAAGTGTGCTGAATTTTACAGTTCATACTACACAAAAAATATTTGGAATGTAGTTATTGTGAAGTATGTGTAAGTAAGAAGAACAAAAGTGTTGTTAATAACTGCAATGCTTAAAAGCAGAGAATGTTTTCAGCTCTATCAGCTGTGATAAATAAGAAGTACAAAATCCCAATACCATGTAGAAAATATTCAACATTTAATGAATTTACCTCTATAAATATATAAATTACTTACTATTTTATGCAATAACTTATCATTCATTACTTTCAGTTATTTACTAATCTACTTATGAGTAGTATGAAAACTGAACTTTATACATAAAAATTAAGATTTCGCTGAAGTACATTACATTTTAAGAACTATACAGTCGTATTTACATACACATATATGTTAGGAAAGATAATAGGCTATTCTTTTTTTTGTACATATGTTGCACTTCTGACTTGCAATAATATTGATCAAAGTAATGCATGATTCATGGGTTCTAGCAGTGTAAGATAAGCCCATAAGTAAACTAATATGGTGCGATTTTATTTAAATCTTTTAGTCATTAAAAAAATCGTAAATGTGAATTAATGTCAGAAAAAGAAGGATGAATTCTCACCATTTAAGCTGAAAATGTTATTGTGTGGTAAAACAAAGTGTTTCCATATACTATGTCTGACCAAAGGTAACGACGAAACGGACGGTATAGATTGTCTCCATACAAAAAGTTCTGACTTTACACAGCGCACTTCTAAGACTTGTGGAATCCAAAGTTGCAGGCGCTCACGTTTTGAATTAATCCAACTTAGTGAAAACATCGAGTTATAGCTTGGCAGAGCTACACTGGTTATGGTCAATTACATGTTTTAAATTAGTAACTCTAACTTCTCTAATCAGTGAAGCTCAGATGTGGCCTCAAATACGGCAGGAAATGTTTCTTGTTAAACATCGTAGGTATGTGGCTTCATAGTGTCGCCAGTGAATATAAACCTGTATCAAACTGAACACTTGGAGTAGCATTGCCTTAACACTGACCAGTTAACGACAAGTATAGTTTGTCCATAGAGTTGCGACATAAACTGTGAGTCTTAGCGATCTCATCGAACAGTTTTTAAAGATGCACTTTGTTTTATACCCGAATTCTAAATTATCGTGTAACATATATATAAAGTAATAAGAATCTTATTTGGTTTTTTTTTCAATTATTTTATTTTAGACTATGGTGGTGGTTGGTTTTGCTTTACTGTTTGCATATTAGTCATTGGTGTGTTAACAGCAGTCATAGGAGATGTAGCATCCTCATTCGGCTGTTCCGTTGGACTGACTGATGCTGTGACTGCAATTACATTTGTTGCACTTGGTACTAGTTTACCAGGTAGATTAAATTCATTTCATATTAAACCAGTTTTATTTTAATTTTCTTTTTAATGTAAACAAACACTTATGTAAGTATTTGATGCCAATCATTATTGAACAACTTATACTGATTCACGATTCACGTTTTTCCCATTAGAAAGCTAAACAATATTAGAGGGGTAAATAATTCATCATCGATTTAGTAACTGATATTTGAAAAGTAAAATAATATCCATCATTTATGGTGATTCAATAACAGTTTAAGGTTGTTAGATAGATTATTGTGTTTATAAGTGATCACTTTTAAAAACACTTACCTTTACAATTCAGAACAGTGTAAACATTGACAGTATTACTCCATTGGAAGCACACCGCTAATGTACAAACACAATGTAAGTAATGTTGAAGGATAATTTTTGCTGTTTGGAATGTCATACGTTGTGTAGGTAAAGTGAATCACTGGATATTATAATATTTCTCTGCAGTGAACCAACCTCCTAATAAATCAAAACTTAATAGATTAAGTCAATCACATTATAATCTAACAATGTACATCTCCCGAAGATAGTCGTGCTCACCATTTATATATATGCAATAACTAAACAGTCACTGGGCAAATTAGGCTACTATGTTCAAAACAATGGTGAACAAGCTTATGTTTCTGTGTGTAATATACTTGGTTGTGGAGGTAATCAAAAGGGATTAATCAGCCTCTAACCCATGTCTTCAACCACTAGTAGGCTAATTTTCAGACTTAAGAGGAGTCACGTTTATTCGTATCTGGAATTTACATTGTTCCGCAGTCTCAAGTATTATTATTATTATTGAAGTCTTTTTTGACTGGATGTATTATGCATGATAAGTATCATCAAGACTCTAGCTTCATTCATCGTTTCTTTCCAATTAACACGTTCAATCTTCAACTAATTGCGACATATCTTTGCTTTTCTCCTCTACATCTAGACACATTCGCAAGTAAAGTTGCTGCTGTCGGGGATCAGTATGCCGATTCATCTATTGGTAATGTAACAGGTAGTAATGCCGTCAATGTATTCTTGGGTATCGGTTTAGGCTGGAGCATAGCAGCTATCTATCATGCTATAAAAGGAACCCAATTTCTAGTTCAACCAGGATCATTGGGTTTCTCTGTAACAATATTTTGTATATTCGCGTTGGCTGCTATCGCGTTAATATTGTTTCGGCGTAAAAAATCAATCGGTGGTGAACTGGGTGGTCCGAAAGTAGCTAAATACTGTTCAGCTACATTTTTATTCTTTTTATGGTTCGTTTACATTCTATTGGCTGGTCTGGAAAACTATTGTATCATTGAAGGCTTCTAAACAAACAAAAACAAAAAGATACTAAACCATACTAATTCATCTTGATGATGGACAATAACAGGAGAAAGTAGAATGGACAAACTGTCGTACGAATCTTTCTCCATGTTTTTAACTGTGAAATTAAACTGAAAAGAAATTAGATTACAACCCCACCCCCTCTTTTAAATTTACTCTTTTCATGTTTCTGTGTATATGCTATTTAGAAAAAGATAACTATATTCTCTATTCTCATTAGTCATATTTAAAGAAAATATGTTTCTTCGTTTCTTAGTTTTTTATTACTGTTATTATGATTATTACTATTATTATTGTCATATGATAAATATCAGTTTTCACAGAAATAAAACGGATTACGTTAACTTTAACCAATAATAATGGATGTTGATAATCCCCCCCCCTTTTTATAACACATTACAGCTGTAAAACTAATGATATATATATATATATATGTTTAACGCTTAAACAATTTGACCAGCCTAAACGCAAACACACACCAATTGCTTATATTTCAAAGATATTTCTTTTCATTGGTTTATTTGTATTATAAATCTGTCCGTTAGCTGTACTGAAATGTATGCAGCATAGGGGTGTAAAAACAGAACACGCTGTTACGTAACTTCTTGCGCACTCTTGTTAACTTTTTACTTACAGAAGCCTTACAGTTCTTACATAGATTACTCTTAGTTTATATTTTTATAAGTAGTAAGTTAACTTTACGGTATACACATATTTATGTATATGACTATGCATTCATAGATGAATATAACTCGGCATATATTCCACAATTTAAAAATATACTCTCGATCTACATAGTTTTCCCAAATAATTTTTCCTAATGTTATATATATATATACATAAATTTTGAAGTGAAGAGTTAAATATACACACATAAAAAAAACACCTGAACGTAAATGTCCATTGTGACCGCCTGTTCCCATCTTAAAAGGCTTTATTACACACAATAGTGCTTAATATTATAACTGTCAGTTGTATTTCTATTCTTTCAACAACTATCGATTTCCTTTTCAATATTAGGCACCAAATTCTTATTGTTCACTTTTATCTGGTCACAAACTGTGGACAGTTTACGCATACACAAAAACAATATACACATACATCATGACATTTATTTAAAGTCTGATATAACCTGAAGGGGAATTTTCGTATATTCTTTTTCACGCATTATACTAAGTGAAAGAAAGAAGGCGAGCCTAAGTAAAACAACCATCCAACCAACCAACCAATAGTCATGTCTTATGAATACAACTAACATGTATACGCACATCATTCCAAACATAAAACCAGTGAATCAAATGAAGCAGTATCCTTGACCACTGCGGAGACGTAGTATAATGTATTTCTATTGTTGATGTAATGCATCAAAATAAGTTAGAAAAACAAAACTGTCGAATCTACTGCTCACATCAGCGAAGAAAAACACCAAGACTTGTGTATGCACAATTGTCATTACCTAAGAATACAAGAGATGAATTAATAAAAACATTTCCAATCTCTTCAGAAAAAGTGATCATGCACACTACTTCCTTTACACTGTGGTGACCAACATTTATTTGTACACAATTATATTTTTTGTAAGTAACCCTAGCCTATATGAAGAGTGTATATTTATTATGTATAAACAGGGGGAGTGGGGTGTTAAAATGACTCGCCTACAGCACTCATTGTGAACACAAATTTATTCATCAATACATTATTGTGTTGTTAAGAGCCTCTGTCACGCGAATCAGTTTATCCCCATCAATTTTTTGGAATTTACAAATAGACAGATACGTCCTTTTTCGCAACTGATATATATATTAGTATGTTGATAAGTTTTGCACAATTTTAACAAATGAAAATACTCTTGTAAACCACTGCAAAAAGTACCAACTGTTGTCTTGGGAAGTACACCTACTTTAATAGTTTGTTTTTTTCCTTGCCTGTATAACATATTCAGTAGCAATTTTCAGGTTTTTGAAAATTTAGTTATTTTAATTAACACTAATAAAAATAAGTAAATATGAATGAATACTAATGTATGCATACTTTAGCTTAATTAAATCAATTTATATATATGATCATCCTTCTGTATTCCTGTGTGGTGTTTTCCTTTTCTCTTCACCCTTTGTTTCTATATACTATTTTCATTTGATATTACGGGGTTTATACCATGTATCATTATTTCTTTCTTGTTTGATTTTAACAAATAAAAACAAAATATTCCTAATAACAATAGTAACAGTTAAAACGATACTTAATATCCATTATTCAAATATATATAAATATACATGTATCCTAACCAATTCACACTATATTTAAAAGCACCAAATACTAAAATCACATTTCCTTTGCTATATTATATATTCTAGTACAGAGATTATTTAAATAAACAAAAAACATGTATCCTGGCTTTCTGTATTAGTTCTTAGTTCTTTTTATTGTCACTAATCGTGAATTTACCATTTTAGATTCAAAAATATTGAGGTCTATCCAAGACTGAATTAATAACGTGGAAAACATGATCTACTCAGTGATTTTTGAACTAAGTATATTTTACATCCTTACTGACTTTGAAATCAATTTGACAGTGAAAGTAACCAACTGATTAAGACTCCGTGTGTAATAGATATTAAGCTGTTTCCTAACTAACAGTATATGACCATTTTGGTTGTCCCAGTTTGAACATACTCAATCAGCTGCAGTTGATATAAGATTAGAGACTACAGTTTTCAACCCTGTGACACACTTATTGAAATGTGGGCAGCTAGATAGTAACGACTGGATCTAACACTATGCCGGCTACATAACAAAAAATTGGTTTTTGATACACAAATTAGCTATCCAATAGTTTACACCGATGAAAACAGCAAAAAATTTTCGGTAGATTTGATTAGCCTTTCTGAACACATTTAGGAACAGTATTATGTCATGACTGCCGCCCAAGGAACAAACTTATAACTGAACCATTTCTATTGATTATTACACTCGTTTTTAGTCTACTCAGAAGAAACTATAATATTATAAAAGGAAGAACCCCATCATTTAGTAGGAGCCCACGGTTTCACACTACAAATAGATAAATATGTGGTTAGTTTTAAGAATGCTTTACTCGAACGATAAGCCCTAATGGATTGTTACCATAGTTATATAGAATGTATATAACGCTTTTCGCACACTCTGTCAACACTGCGAGCAATGACAGTTTAATTTTAAATTCACTGGATTGATGACAACTGTAAAATATAGTGCCAGCTAAATGTTAGTAGTCAATATGATTATTTTCTTGTAAATAGTATATTTTGTGACGTTTAGACAAGCAGTTACAATTATACATTATCCTCCGAAATTCCTACTCCTATTTCCAGTATGAATATGAGATCTCTATGCCTCGCCAGACAAGCTTTTGAAATCCAACCGTATCATCTTGATAAAACAATTTATTTTAGAGAATTACACATGTTTCCTATTGAAATAAAAATGAGGATTCAACACACATCACTGCAAAATATAATCATATGATGAAAAATTATCGAAAAAATAAGAAGAAAAACAGGTAGTTAAATTCATAATAATAAATCTGCAGAACTATTTAATATCTCAACATTTGTAACAAACAGGAAAAGAGAAATCATCCACTGAAAAAGCGGTGGTAAACTTGATAGAAGGGGAATTGATTAGAAAAGCAACAAGGACAAATCATTACAAAAATTACATTTAAAAAAATATATAAACAAAAAATTAAGTGATCCTCAATAAGTATTACAGGTGATTTCAAAAAAAAAAAAAGAAAAAGAAAAGAGGATTGTATTTTTATCTATTGCAAATTAATAGTAACATAACACGTAAGATTAGTCATTAAATTAAAGTAAGTTTAAGATCAGTTCAACAAAAGTGGATAAGCAATCCAAATTTCAATGAATTACATATGAAATGCACTTCCTTACCTGTTCAAAATGCGCCACACACACACACAAATAGGTCACAGGAGTGTACACTGCAAATGTCAGTCAGTTAACTGTATGAACAGAAAACCAACCTTAACTAACGTTCTGCATAAAATGCTCTTGCTTTCAACAAAATATGCATTACATCAATATTTGAAGGGTAATTCTATACAAAATAAAAAACAGAATAGATAAAGCGCTTATTAAAGCAAATCAAAATTGCATTATAATGTGGTTTGTAGCTCATTACTGGGTAACTGGGATCTACCTAACCAACTGGAATTTCACTAGTCAAAAATATGACATCTGGTCTAACAATTCGGTTACCTTATGTTTAACAGGTGAAGCAGGTTTCAAATCTCGTCATCAATCAACTAAAGCACCTAAATCACTGACCCATATATATATATATATATATATATATATACTAGTGATGACAAACATAAGGTTCACACTGCATAGAAAACATAATTTTAAATGTTTCATGTATGCAGTATACATATAGTAATCAATTTATAGAATCTAGTGACATGCATTGACACAATGAAAACAAAATCCAATTTGCTGAGCAGCACAGTACGAATATAATACAAATAGACTTAAGAGGTGATTTATGTGACAGCATGTCATTTCACTTGTGAAAGATATCCAATTTGTGAAGAAAAAACAGAGAGACAACTATATCCTGCACAAATGTATACACAACCTTCACTGTTGAATTTCACAAAATAAACGAATTAAAGGAGAAAGATGTAGAAATGAATAACTACATTAATGAGAGGGGGGCATCACATAGTGTGCATGATTTTAAATGCTCTCCTGTAACGTACTGCGAATCACGTCAACTGATGTTCTTAAACAAAAAATCCTAAAATATTGGCAGAGCTAGATGAATAGTCCTTATTTCGCTGTGTAACCCAATAAACAGTGAACGGCTTTACGAAACAGTTTTACTCTTCCTCATTTCAATTCGATTATACAGTACAATCATTTAGACTTCATCGTTTCGAATAGCAGACAGACTTACAGACACTATATGAAATAAATGACTTATCAGTATGCAAATAAGTCTTTCTGTTGACTTCTGAAATATGGCATCGAGGTAAAAGCACATATCTCGGCAGACATCTGCATTTATTTGTTTAACTGAATGCCCATTGTGGCGTGTGCTACTGATAAGATTTATCAGCAGTATATAACGAGACATTCGGCATAAAAACATCAAATGTCCGAGAAAGAAAACGATACAGCGTTACGAAGAAACATAGGAGATGTCAAAGAAACACAATACGAAGGTCAGAAGTAGCACAACACGGAAGATTTATGCAAATGGTGAGTTGAAGAAAAGGTCTACATAATTTCACTACATGGAGATACCAAATTGCTAATGAACACTCCTTTACCAAGTTTCTCGTCTTCTAATGTTACAGCACGATAAAATTTTAGTCGATAGTTTTCTACTCGACAAACGACTAGACTAATTATCATATAATGCGAATTTCACACGGTTAAATAATTCCAGACAAATTTTTCCTGCCAATTTTTTTTGCCGCTTTGTTCGACTTTCCAATTACACATGATTCGTAACTAATTCAATCAAGCAAGAGTGATTAATGATGTTCTTCTATAAAAGAAAAATGTAACAGAGATGAATATTTTCTTTTTTGAAGAATTCTTTTCCAATTCTGAACAAATTCATCAAGACTGATGAACTGATGTTAGTGTATTCCATGCATTCTTTTACACAACAACAAAAATAGTTTAGAAGGGAATGGACAAGTGTCAATTAAGAAATAGAAGTTAGCAAGCACTAAGTAATAAGAGTGAAAATAGTCCAATCAGCGTGAACGCACAAAATGCACGTAAGAGTCGAAAAGACAGTAAAGTGTTTAACAAAATATCGGGAAAAAAAGGAATAAAAAGGAATAACTAAGTAGAAAAAATTGTAATGACTATCATAAGAGGAATGAGTGTAAACAACACTGTTTTTGAATACAGAGATCAGGTTTACGATTGAGAACTGGTAGTGATCCACCTATCTACAAACAGCATCCTGTAACATGATATTGAGGGAATCTACATATCACTTTACAAAAATCATCCGGATCACACTGTTGTCCTGACTAGAGTAATAACCCCCTTAATTTTGTAAGTATATTGGCTGTCTTATAAGTGATCGCTTTATTCTGTTTTATTGTTTTCTCTTTCTTCTTTCCGCATGCATATTTTACTGTCTCTCTTACTCATGCTTTCATTTCTGTGCATCTAAACTAAGTCATTCTCAAATGCATTTCATAATGTCCCTGCTCCTTCCTCCTTTTCAATTTCCATCTAAGAAATAACAAACAAACTGCACATGAAGAAGGTTGTGGGATAATTCTAATGAACAAGAAAAAAGCGTCTCTCAGATGAACCTTGTATTGAAGACGACAATTCACGATTAAAAGTACCGCAATAAAGATTTGACAGATGAGAAACACATCATAATAGAGCTCAAGCAACTCGTGAAAAAGCTGAATACGAATAAAACATTTGATGGACTCCAGACCAAAAGGGTCCCCCGCTTAATATTGAAATGAATAAAGTTGACAGTCACTTTCCTTTCCATAAACTTTTTTACCGGTAAGAACTGATGCTAATAAAACTTAGGGAAACATATTCAACACATTCTGAAAGAATCCTTAGATCTCAACAAAATAACACTTGAATGTGACATCGTATGACTTAAAATTATTTACGAGCATTCAATTTCTAGAAGCTATATAGATATATCATCTTTTAATGCATCGAAGATATCCCATTACTGAGAACTGAAATAAAACGTCTCTTGAGTGTACGAGAAATATGCAACAACACTGTAAAGTGACAGGTAGACAGAGTAGCAATGGGAAGTTCACGACATCCAATAACGGCTGACATTTCTAAGCGCCATTCAGAAATTACTACTACTTTAACATCTGCAATCAATGCAGACGTTTACCCGTACCTACTTTCGAATTAATTAATATTTTATGAATCCCTTTATTTAGCTCTCTCATTTTTTATGGATAACTCTTCCCATGAATAGGTAATCACTTCTACTTATGTCTGATTTCATTTTTAAATTAGAAAATATTAGTCTCCTGGGACTATGAGAATATCCCTAATTTGATTACAATTTCATCAATTCTGACTTCTTGTACGGTGTGGATACCGTGTTTAATCTTTTTATGTTTTTACCTATCTAATTTCAACTGTAATGTGATATTTTACTAGATGAGAAATCTGAGAACACACCACGTAACAGAGGAATAATAAAACTAGTCACGATTAATACTAGTAGTGTCAATAATTTCGACATATATGCTTACTTGTACAAGTTGTACAGCTACAGGAAAATCAGCTTTCAGTAGTTGATCACGAACATTACTGTAATTGGAAGGAAATAAAGATAAAAAAGATTAGAGACACTTGAACAAGTTACATCATTTTAAAAATTACAAAGCAAAAAAAACAATCATAAATTAGATACGACTTTTTCTCTACCTTCATTCTTCAAGAAAAACCAATTTTTCTTAAATTTAACGTTTGCTATCCTCATTTCTGTATGAGAATAATGTGTACAATTTAATCTGATATTAAAATACCAGACAGATAAGTATGAACACTGTTGGTTATGGCATTCAGACATAACTGTAAAAATTGCCGCATCTCAGTTCTTCACATTGATCATTTAAAAAAGGGGAAATAATATAATCGAAAGTTACAGTGTCTCACGACAAATGTAAGCAGAAAAAATGTAACATTACAGATAAGACAAAGACAAGGAATCGGTCGGTCGCTTTTCGACATAGAACTTTGCACATATGTGCGGCAGTTCAAGTCGCCACACTCCATGTAGCACAAAAAGCAAGAGAAGAAACTAGGAGAAATGCATAATATAGACAGTAAACAGAGGTGAGAGACAAAGGAATAGTAATAACGGAGAACAAAACAGTTTAATTGGAAATCATAAGTCACAAGGAGTGGATGCATCTGCGCCACTGAGAACGATTTTGAGCCATGTCACCAATCGTTTCCAACCATTGGTTTTTACCGTCCCGAGGACCCCAACCAGACAGCAGTCTACACCTTCCTACGTGGCTTAGACTAACTGTTGTGGATTTCATTGACTGGTGCCATGTTTTCATTTGACCGCCACTAGCTCTTTTGCAGCCTGGCCCTATATCAGCTAACATTGCCCGTCGAGGAAGGCGATGACTAGGCATACGTAATACATGTCCTAACCATCTCAGTCGATGTAATTTCACAGTTTCGTCGATTGATTTTCCCGCCTTACCTAGCACTCGACGCCTAACCTCAATATTGCTCACCTTATTATACCACTTTACGCGGGAGATAGAACGAATGCAACCAACTACGAGTCGTAGCACCTAGAACTTGTAAAACAGGTTTATGCAGCCACGCAGACTGTTAACGATAAAACCGTCTAACAACCACAATTTCAGCCTAATAAATAAACGCATACAGATGATAACAGCCTTTGATAATTAATACCAAGCTGCTAGTAAGACATTGTGATCAGTGTACTCACATAACTGTCTTGCTTCGTTTATATACATGAGCAAAAATTGATTAGACATTTGAATAAAATCAATATAAGATAAAGTACATTCGGATATAATATTAGTGTTATCAATAAAATACAATAAGATGGGAAATAAGATGTTTTATATTAAAAATAAGTAAATTGTTAGAATGTCATAATATGAATTGAAATACACTTTAACATTATTTATTATCCTCTGATTTGACTGGTAATAATACCTTCCATATCTCCGGTATTTGCGTTGAATCATCTCTATTGCACGAGTTGTGCGTAGATTATATGAACAAAGATTCAGTAATCAACTTCTCTCTCCACCTACCTATATTACCCTTTAGAATTTTGACTCTGTCCCACCCTATTGTGTGGCTGCGTGTTAATGCATGCAGTGCAGTTGCTGAACTTTTCTTCTAAATTACTTATCTTCGCAGAGTCAATCATTCTAATCTTAGCTAAATTCTTATGTTCTGATAATCTCACTACTCCTAATCTGCTAGTTTGACCTATGTAGTTGACATCAGTCACAGTCATTGCAAGGTACTTTGTAAATTATGTCATTTTGTTTAATTGAGTTTACCGGGTCCTTTAACCTACAGAGGTCGTCCCTGAGTGAGTTTGTAGGTTAAATGCCACCCTAATTCCTGCTTCATTAAGAATCCTACGTAAGGTTTCAGATGTCTCCTCTTTATCATTACCAATTTCACTGTTATTTTTCTTTTTTCTGTGATCATTTTGATGTTCTTATTAAATTTTATAGGACGGTTAAGGAACATCAACTAGCTATTCTTCTATCTGTTTCATTTCATCGTTTAGGCTTTTGTTGTACTACTTAGTGCTACTGATTGGTTTGTTAGACACTTAACTCAGTCTGCCTTTACAGATAACGGATGAGATGAATTAAAGTCTGAATATCTGTTAGAATGCGTTCGTTTTTTACAAATACTAGTGTGTAGTTTACCTTCTTCTATTCATTTTACTTTACAATCTAACATAGCTAATTCTCCTTGTTCATTTTCCGATTAAAATATGAATTTTATTCCTTTTACTAGTGAATTTATATTTCCCATCTTATTGTATTTTATTGATAACACTAATATTATATCCGAATGTACTTTATCTTATATTGATTTTATTTCAAATGTCCAATCAATTTTTACTCATGTATATAAACGAAGCAAGACAGTTATGTGAGTACCTTGATATGATTATGAGCGGCAATAATTTGTGCTCGAAATGTCATCATCAGTAAATATTACTGTATAATACTGTGTGATTTCATCAAAATAAAATTCTTTCCATAACAGTAAAAAGCAGTCAAATGAGAAAATGACAAGAGGACGTAAATTACATAAGTGCTATTGGAATCTAAATTGTGCGTTAGACCTGCTGGGATGTGGCTTTGAAATGAAATAAGTGACTGGAAAAGTTTGAATAACTGTACTTGGAAATAGCTCCTTTTCTCTATATGACTGAAAGGTTACCTGTTTAACTTCAAAAGATGTTCTGTAGTTTTCTAGATTGAACAAATAAAAACTTAAGCACAGTACTACTGGAAAGCTTCCTCCTCCAAAAATTATGCCTAAAACAACTTACATTAACATTGAACAGCAAACATAAGGAAGTAAATCGAACCGGTGTTGATCTGAGAAGAGTGCATCCCACAGAAGAAGCACATCTACAACACAAACATATAAAAAACAAAGTAATTGAGCAAAGAATATCCTTTTCGATAATTTCCTTTTCTGGCTCTAGAATTATATATATATATGCATAGGATATTCTAGATTAGTAGTCAATAACAATATTAGTATTTTTAAACTAATATCGATTTGTTAAGTAAGATCAGTTCATTAAAGATGCATAAATTATAATAATAAAAATACAATAGCAAGTAGGATATCAAATAAACTGAGGAAATTTCTACAAAAAATTGAGGATTATTAGAACCTAAATAGCCAAGGTAAGGACAATGTCTGAACTAACTTCTTTTGGATGCACAAATTAGGCTTCTTAATGTGGATCCCAACGGCCTCAGTAAAATGTAGTAGACGAACTCTTAACGCAAAGTTAAAATCTGTTGTTATGCGGTAAGTAACTTTGAAAGCCTCGTTGACATCAATCTTGTGTTCTGTATCCACAAGATGAGACAGAATAGCTCTATGAACGGATTTTATTTGTTCTTTACTTTTCTGATCATGAGAACGTCTGGAAATGAAATAATACAGTCTTTTTCTTCCACAATAGTAAAATTTATTGCAGGATGAACTAGTCAAATTTGTCCACGATGTTCTTTGCTTTATGCTCATTTTTCATGATCAAAAATGTATCATCCATGTATCGAAAGTAGAACTCAAGTTCATTAAAGACATCTTTCAAAGGCCCATTCTCTAGTTTCACAAGGAAAATGTCGGCTAGAATGGGTCCTAGTGGTGACTCCATTGCCACACCATCGATTTGTCTGTATAGTTCCTTATTAAATAAAAAGTGAACATTCATTGTGCATTTCAAGAGGAGCTCCTTTATAAAAGATAACACCAGTGAATACTAATCGACTTATTGTCTTAACCATGTAGAACTTTACATAAAAATGTGTTGGTTCAAGTTGCCACACTCTGGAAAACACAAAAAAATTAGAGGAAATAAGTATAATGAAAATGCAGCCGGTGAAGATGTACGGTAGGGATTAAAAGAAGATTAGTGAAGATTTTCAGAAGTTTTAAGATTACAAACAGCGAAAAAATTATGATATTATAGACGATTTTGAACCACATCGCCAAGTCTCAAACAATTTATTTTTTCGCATTTCAAGGACCTCAGTCATATAGTCTACGCCGCATTACACAGTTTAGATCATCACTCAGTAACTTGATGGTTTAGCGCTACTTTTTAGTCTGGTGATCAGCCTTAACTCTTTTCTAACCTGACCTTACTTTAACTGAAAGTACGCGAAGAAGAAGGATGTAATTTAGCATCAGTGACTCGAATATTAGCCACCTCAACTGATGGAGTTTCCCAACCTCATTGACTGACCTGCACCCATAACTTAACACTACAGAAAACTTATCCTATTGCTCTATCTAACGTGGGTGAATGATTAAAGATACCTACATTCGAAAGCCTCTAGTCTTTTCCTATCTTCTACCATTTTTATGATGAAAACCGAACCGAATTTCAACCTCCACCCACCCACCTACCCATATTTCAGAACCCAATTTTAACCAATCTGTGATCATACAAGTTACACTGGCTACACAGCCAGGCACAACAGAACTGTAACGCCTTAGTCCAGCAACATAACTCCTGACAAGTGAGTGATATACTTGGACTCTATAACTTAAGACGGTAAGAACACGGGGTTTATAACCCAACACAAAGGCATATATACATGGTTGAAGCGTAATCCTCTTTCACCGTTCTCGCGACAAACACACGAGATAACTTGGACACTAGTGAAGTGAATAAAATCTTTTTGCACAGATAGCTTACTCAAGTGTTACAAGTGATCAAAATTCATCTAAAAGATGAACAAATGAAAACAAGTATGACTTTTAAAAGCTTCAAATGAACTAACAAACCTGGAAGCATAAATTCTCGTGCCAAGAGTAAACTCAACCATCGAAATGCAAAGTGTTCTGGTACGAGATCAATTTGTGCGAAATGCTTCGATAAATGGCTATCATACCTAGACAGCAGATTTGACAAGATTTTCATTTGTCCACCTAATGCAGAAAAACAAATTCAAGAAAAAAACAATTTAAGCATGAAGGGGTAGATAAACAACTAAAATAGAACTATCTTGCTTGAAAGGTGTGTTTTTTCCTGGCACATTGCATCGAGAAAGAAGAAATATCCATTACAGACACGGTACAGAACACACAGGGCAAAATTCAAAAGCTATATGACAGTGTCATGTGTCAGGTGAGCCACAATGGAAAACTCAGCGAAGCGTGGGAAGTGACGACAAGAATAAGACAAAGCTGCCTACTATGAACGGTTGTATTCCTAACTGTGATGGGCTGGATTATGCGTCAGACGTTAGGGAGCGAGAAGACAGGAATACGTTGGACCGACAAGAAGATTCTAGAAGACCTGCATTTCCCAGACGATTTATGTCTAATGTCACACAAACTGGAAAACTTACAGGTGAAAATCAACAAACTGGCAGAAGAAGCAGCAAAGATAGGACTTCAAGTGAACATAGAGAAGACGGAGGTGGTGAAGAAAGCCAAGCAACAGAAACAACAACCAGCACCAATCACCATCAACGGGAGAAATTTGAAAGAGGTCACTACCTCCACTTATCTAGGAAGCATCGTTTCAACTACAGTCTGGACGGATGAGGATTTCAAAAATCAGAATCGGAAAAGCTAGACAGACCTTTATCATTCTGCAATCAGTTTGCAAATCTGCTGCACTCAGCATCAAGAACAAGATTCTGATTTTCAACAAAAAGATTATGTTATTCCTTCTATATGGGTCAGGAACTCGGCGCGTTACGAAAGGCATTCCCAACAAGCCACTCAAGACTTTAATCAACAGCTGTCTTCGCTCCATACTGAAGATGGGATGGCCAGAAGGAATTGGCAACAAGAAACTCTGGGAAGGAACCAATCAAGAACCTATTGCTTAAACAATATTCCGAAGAAAATGGAGGTGGATCGGACACACGCTGAGCAGACCATCACTCCAGTCTAACGCGAATGAAAAATGACGAGTGGGTCGTCCTAGGGTGACATGAAGGAGATCGTGGGAGGAGGGGATGAGAGACTATGGGTAATAGTGGGGCCAGCTAGAGAGGATGGCAGAGAATAGGACGAAGTGGAGATGTGTTGTTGAAGCCATATGTTCCACTCGGAACTCAAGAGAACAATAATATTATAATAGTGTGACGAACTAACAATATTAAGTTAACACCTACGGAGTACATTTTGTATAGAAAAGATAAAACTTATCAGTTGGAATGATAGTTAATGATAAGTACAAAAACTATAAATATGGTTAAAGGTTTTAAATTCTTACCTAGTCCAGCCTCACGACTACCATCGAGTTTTCTTATAAAGTTAGGATGAATTTCTGTCATCAAGTTGTTAAAACAGTAAAACGTGTCCATTTCAGCATACCCTGTGTTGAAAAATGTTGAAATAAGACCAGTTTATTAGTATCATAGTCATAACTAAAAGAAAGATGTTTACGTATTAAGTCGCGGTAATATGAAATTTGAGTCTTTATACAGAAAGAGATATCAAAGTACACCTGTGCTTAATCATTTATTTTAAGGAGAAAAGCAGTGACTTCTAAAAGTACTACAAGCTGTTCATAAACAGTAAGAATGATTGCATTAGACCTACAACTGATTGTTTCGAAATGAATCTAAAGAATTTATAAATAAAATCCAGCGTTCGTCTTATTGATAAGTAGTAACGAAATTCAGGAAGCCCGTCGGAACTATTGCCTGAGAGGATCTACCTTGTGATCAGTATTGGTGATCGCAGTAGGACTCAAATTAATCACTTATTTATGAAGCATATAAGTATTATCGAATAAACTAATGAGTGACAACAGCTGTCGTCTGATATACTCCAGATGTTTTTCTCTTTTAAGACAGTACTTTTCCCACCAGAATGAAACCCCAGGAAAACAATCGATATCCATTCAAAAATATTGTTCTACTAAGTACAGTAGAATTAACCACGTAAAATTACATTTATGAACAAAAACAAAATGCAAACTAGTTTGTATCTCCTTTTTAAAGCTGATACATTACCAAAATAGTCTACAAATCCTACAATAATCACCTAGTAGGGTCACTAATGAGAAACGAGAAATTAACACACTAAATTTGGAGGAAGATTGTAACTCTAAAATCACAAAATCAGTGAGGAAAGTTTTCCGGCATAATACTTGAACTAACTGAAGTGTTACCTGAAGAGGGGAGATAGGATTAATTACTCATGACAATTATTAGTGGATTTTTATAAGGGCTTTTCTACGCAAAACTTTATTCCTTCTACTACGAAAAGTTGGTTTTTTGAGTATCTGAGTCTAAATTACCTAATGATTACACCGCTTTAAAACAAAATATTTCTTTGCAAGACTGCAGATTTTCTCCCCTTGGTCAGTAGTTTCCCAGCCTAACAATGATGAAGATATGAGGAAAGCGTTTGTGATGTCCATAATACAAAAACATTCTAAAAATCAGCTTGGACTATTACGTTCCTGGGTTGTATAATAATTTTACTAAAGTTTGTAAGCTAAACTTACTTCTCCAAGACTCATCTGGGTCCGTGGCAAAGACGTAGTAAATTGGAGCAATAATTTCGTTCATCCCCTGAACATAACCCTGAGACACATGAGTCTTATAATAGATATACAGGATTCTTTCTATCACCTCCCAATGTGGTTCTTCATGTGGTGATGTTAAACTGCATTCATTTTTTCGACTTCCTTTACTCCTTTGTATGTTAGTTGCAAGTCCTGAGGACAGTCGATGACTCGGTTGATAAGGACCAAAAGTGGACATATGAATCATATTCATCGCACCAACAAGATTTTTATTTAATGATTGAGACTGTAAAACAAGAAAATACATGCTCCATAAGAAACAATCTACATCAATAATATGCTGCTGCTGCTGGATTCAACATAGAACTTGGCACCGAAGTGCAGCAGTTCGAGTTGCCACGTTCCAAATAGCACACAAAGGTAGACAGGAAAATGAGAGAAGAGAATCAATAGAATTTAGATAAGCATAAGAGTGAAACAGAATGAGTAATGGTAGAAAGGAATATGAAGGTTAAAGAGACTGAATACATCTGCGCCATTGACAACGATTTTGAGCCATGTCACCTATTGTCTCCAGCCATTGATTCTTAGAGTCCCGAGGGCCCCAACCCGGAAGTCTGCATCTCCCTACCTGACTCAGTTTAACTGTCAGGGATTTCATGGATTGATGCCATGTTTTTGTTTGGCCACCACTTACTCTTTTCCAACCTGCACCTATATCAGCTATCACCTATATCACCCCGACCGAAAGCTGCTACCTTGACGTGGTGGTCGGGCTTGAACACCGCAATAACCCAACAAGCTATATTGGTTGGAACTTATGTTCCTGCAGGTCCTACCATGCCAGGAAGGTTGTTTGGATAGCGGTTAGACTAAAAGCAGTTACCCAATCCAATCCTATGACTTCAAATAAATCACAAAATATCATGCCGGATCGGTCGGGGCCCGGATTAACAACGACCGCGCTTTCTGCTGCCGTGTCACAGGGCAGAAGTGATAAATACGCTACTGAGACACACCAAATAAAAAACAACAAACAAAAACAGGCCGTGTGTGACCGGCCTCAAGCAGTTGTCCCCTGGGCTCTGCGGTCACGCAACCAACTTCCACGGTGTGGGCAGCCGGGAAGTAACAATCGCCCTCACAACCCGAAGAGCACGCGAAACCTCTCTATTCCTCACTCACCTTTGTCTTCATCTTCATCTCTATTATCTTACCTTGCTTCTACTAATGCAACTCCTCTACTTAATGGCTCTTCACTTCCTCTTCACATCAATAATATCCTATTTATGGTAGAAAAGTATAACTAGTTAACAGCTGTACTACCCTACCTATTAACATTTATTTTGGAACACTCCTGCCACAACTTAATACCAATCTAATCACCAGTGTAAATGATGTACAACTGGGTAATTTTTCATTAATTGGACTAATAATCTCATAAACTATGCTTAAAAGTAGTTCGGACTTCCAAGCTATTAACTGCAGGTTGGTTTACAATGTTAACAAGAGAAGTCTAACTAGTATTAACTGTAAAGAACAGTGTCTTAGTGTACGAAAACACACTTCGACAAATAATTAAAAAACATTTGTAGGAAGCTAATTCTAATTCGGAAAGAAAACTATAAACTACGATAAAATACTCAGCTGTAGAATATATCAATGAATGCATATAATATGGATTTATCTTGTGAGTGGTGAATAAATAAAGTGAATGGTAATTTTGGTGCGTACAGTTACTATTGGCAAAATTTAAACAGATTGATCTACTATGAATAACTACCTGGAGAGCACTATTTTCACCCCTTCTGCGTAGTACTCCAATAGGTACATCTCCAAATAACGATGAACACGAGAATTCTGTGGGGCGTCGGAAAAAATCAAAATCCGGACACAGCCGCTGGCAATCTTTGTTTATTTGCAGTAGAACTTCGTTATCTCTGAAAAATGTAATCCAGCTTCCATCAGGCTCCAAATTTAGTGGCTTCGATTTATTGGGAATGATGCAACAAAAGAAACACGCTTACATGATCGGCAGGCGTAGAGTTTGCTGCACATGATTCAAATACGAACTCTTTTACGTAACCTTCATACTGCCGTCGATTGAAGGCAATCCGTTCTTCACGTTTGGCAGCACTACACGGGAGGTAATTCAAAAGAAACTGCAAAATATAACTAAGGTAGAATACTTTCCACACTCTGGAACGAATACCATCTGAATCAGGACACCCATCAATAGACAGCTTCTTAAGCTCTTCAATATTGACATTCTCCCCATGAATAATATCCAGTATCTGCTTATGTCTACAGAAATTAAAACATTCACAGGAACTACCTTGAGAGTTTCATATCCTTAGTTGGAAAGCAAGTGATTGCTGACAGACTTTTTGCAGTGATGGCTTCAAATAAGAACTTCACAAAAGCTACAGACTTTTGGGTTCATAATAAATGTAAATGCCGCTACAATAAGAAAGGGAGCAAATATTAGAACTTTTATACATAAGCATCAGTCAGTTCTTATATTAGATCATTCTACCTCTTGCTACAAGAGTTCCAGAGGTCAACATTTTACATGTACTTCAGCCTTGAGACTTAAAATCAATAGACTGTGCCGAACCACAGACGGTTAAGTTGCTAAAAGGACTAAAATGTGATTTAAGTGAAATGTTTTACACCGTAACTAAAGTTATTCGTGACCCACAGTTAAGCAAAGAACAAGAGCTACCGGAAAGCTATTCATTTTTGAAATGTAAAGTAACCCAAACACCCACATAGAAGTAAATAAATCCCTATAGCTTTGGCCTGTTCTATGTAACAATTAGTTCTTATTCTAAGAAAGCACATACATAAAAACGCAAACAGTGTGCGCTTAGGGCATACCTTGTGCAGACAGCTGTTTATCAACGTTAAATGTTGTCATCGACACTATAGACAACCTTACGGCAACAAGCGAAAAGTCGCTTGTCATCGAGCCGAAAACCGAATGTGCTCTGACTACGATTTTTTGGCCACTGAAATTGGCTATCCACAGTAGTGGTCGTTGCACTATTAATGAAATTTTCCAAGCGCACAAAACACAATTATACAGAAGCATATGGGTTAAATCTAATAGAATATCAACCGGATAAATAATCCTACGTAGTACTGTACAGTACCCAGCTAGCAATGATTTCAAGCTCATTGCGGAATGATCGGGGCAGGCTTAGGGGCCTTGTCTCACGTTAGTCTGTGTGCCCGAAGTTTTTGGCCCCGACTATTCTGCAGTGAGCCTGAAAAAAGTGTTAGCTGGAGTATACTCCAACAATTAGACCAGTATTGAGTTTAAATATCTCACCTACTCTACTTGCGGCTACCATCTTCTGCACCGCCACATTATATATATATATATATATATATATATATATATATATTTCATAATAAGGTGGAATCTTAACAAAATTTTGGTCAAATAAAAGAAAGATTGAGATATGATGAAAATAGCAGAGATCGTTTCATATAGCTGCAATCTACTCATCTTCCTACTACATGCCATGCCCGCTGTTCAACTGTTATTAACCCGATTTCATCATTTTCGCAGGACAGGGTTTATCAATTGATAAACCCTTAAGGGTACGGCAGAAGCGTTAACGCCAAAAAACTAAAATCCGGGCGCAAAACCAGTTTACACAACCTTAACTATACAGAGTGACGCAATATTGCGAGAAACAATGAATATTACATCACAAAACCTATTATATATTGTGTGAAAGAGTACTGATCCATAAGACATTTCGAAAAACAAATCGCTTATATAACGATCATTACGGGCAATGCTTAATTAGTAAATGTAAGTCCTGCTAAATCAATACTAGGAACCGAGATAAGTAAAGGTACGAATACCTGCAGCGCAGCAAACGAAAAGCCCGCGACCATGAATACCCGATAACTGATATTTTTCAATATCCAATAAACCCAGCTGGTGTGGAGAACATTGATGAAGTAACTTCTTAGGATCTTCGATGGATTTTGGCATGTTTATATTCGAAATATGGACATACGGAGAGAAAATATGGCTGCTGAGGGTAATACAGGAGAAAAGAGAAGATGAGACATTCATTGGGTCGAATATCAACGGGGGATTGACAGAATAGACATTGTGAAATTTTATGATTGAAGTTACACCGGTATTAGTAAGCTCGCTTAACTTCCTTGCGAAATTTTCTTCTGTCAACATAGTGTGCAACCGAAGCTTCAGAAGCATACAGGTACTCCTAATCTCGGCTCCACACATTTTCTTGTGGTCACGTTGTACACTGAGCTTCTTCGAATGGTACTGGTTATAACGGAACCACCTAGTTTCGCTATTTAATAGTTGGAGCGGCAGTGTCTGAAATCGCTAATAACATTAGGATATCATGATGACTGGCGACAATGTTGCACATTGCTTTATGAAGTGACGGCGGGTTCGGTTGATTCGACTGGGTTCCACTTTGCTTCGCTTGATAAAGGTAGCTGCAAATTCCGGAATTTTCATGCTTATGTAGATATTATGGGTGGGTTTCTTTAACAATCTTCGTTCGACATTGTTTCTATTTAGAATGCACTGTTTGTGCATCAGCATCCTTAAATCTGTGTTTCATGCAACAGTTATTTGATATACCGAGTATGCTTGGCGTACACTGGTATGAATTGTTTACAAAAAGTTGATTTGCATTTTGGTGCAAGTCGGTACCCCATCACAAGCTTTTCGATCAGCTGATATCCATGAGCTATGTCAAATTCAATAACCCAGAAAAACGATTGCTATCATATACCTATATATTCAAAGTTGTCCGTCTGCAGACTTGCATAGCGTTTCCATTGATACAAACCAACGGAATCCATATATATAAGCATATATAATGCTCGTATTTAGACGGAACATAATGTTCGTAACGTTTCAAGAATACTTGGAATATCCACTACTTTCTCTCATACTTGTTAGCTGAGTTGAATACACACTAAAGCGACTTATTTGGATGCTTGAAAATCGTTGCAAACAGGTATTTAGCGAGACCCGTAGACTATGTCATTTTTTCAGTGTTATATGCTTTCATAAATCTCTAGCTTTTTGATAAAGCATGCATGGGTTTCGAAGAGAATGATTTGAACGTGCAACTTCCTCAAGATGAGTTCTGCTTGATGGTGACTTGCTTGAACTTTATCATTGAATGTTCTATCACATCTCATTAAAAAACGCCGTCCTTCCCTCCATAAGGCGATCGATGACTGCACAATTACTACAGTTTGCTTTCTCGTTATTACCTAAGTGTTGTTTGACATTAGGTGTCACGTATAAACTGTACAACACTAACAGTGACAATCCTACCCCACTTGTCAACATATAGGCCATGGGTGTAACTACAATAAATTCAAATATTAGGTCCCTAAAAACCTAACTGATGTTCATGAATAGAACGGAATGTTAATGTTTACACAAAGTATGAGATATACTTCGTAAGCGAAACTGTAGTGCTATGATGACCGCTTAGCTAGGGATCGTTGACCAATGAGCGAACGTAACACGTAGATTGCAAATGACGCGAACGCTTGACCGTGGACATTCAGCTTAACGAGTCAACTGAAATGCTGAAAGTCGTCACCCAATGCTGAGTGATGAGTGTTGTAGGTGATTAATTTTGGGAGATTACTTATCGTTACAGAGTTATCGTGTCTCGTCAATTCACCTTTAATGTAAATAAGGAAACATCACTGATGTCTAGTTTCGTGGTACAACCTGGGAATGACCAGAATTGCAGCAAAGAACTGTTCGAAATTGATAAGCAATCGAAGTTAAGTTGCACTTTGACATATTGAGAATTACTGTAATCAAATTAAATATCTAAGTAGCATACTGAATCATTTTTGAGTTGAGAAGAATAACTGTCAAATATCAGGTACATTTTCTTCTGGACAGCATATGTCGAGGTAGATATTTTATGTGGTAGAACCCTTTCAGTAAACAAGCCCCAATTTCATTCTTTTAACATGACTTTGATATTCAATGTTTGTCCTGAGAATAGCGTCTATTTGAGTTTTCTCAAATAGATGTGAGAAATCAATTTCGTGCGGCTTTCCACATATTTTCCTGAATGTTTTTGGAGGTTGAAGGTGTCGACGTTCGCGAGTTGTACGGATTATACTAACGCAAGATCTAATACCAACAACTTCTATAGTGTTCGCTCTTCGAGTACCAAAGATAAAGCAAAAGACCAGATTTAGTCGTCCAAAGTACGTAATATATTTCGGGACCAAATCGCGGGTTGAAGTGAATGCTTAGCTAGCTAGTAATCGTGCACCCACGTGACACGACGTAGTCCCAAATGGCATGGATACTTGATCGGAAGCCTTCAGCTAAACAAGTCGACTAAAACAGTGTGGGTCAGCATCCAATGTTGAGTGATGATTGCTGTGGTCAATAATTTTGGGGAATTATTTACCGCTACAGCTCACCTCCCCCTAGTGGGGTTTTGAGTTCCCTTGTGGTGAGAGCTGTCTACTAGCCAAATTGGTAGACAGTAATTTACGTCAATATTTACGTTCCCAAGATTTGTCGTGAGAAACAACCAATCGGAAGACTGTGTTTGTTTGTTTACGTATCCATAGTAATGTACATGAAAACATATATAAATATGCGTTGATTTCCTTAATAAATGATCTGTTGCCTGACCCTTGCCTTCTTTTGTTACACCCTGAGACAGGACCAGCTTGAAGTAAAAAAATCTCGATGGTTCCCTTATGGGTGAAAAAAATCTTTCGAGCGGCTTGGTGGAGTGCCTACTGGTCTGTCTGCCTATGTTAATAGAGTGTCTGTACATAGCCTCCTCGATGTTGTTCGTTGGATCCCGTGCTTCGTTTGTTTCTTGTGCAGTGCTCGTCGCACCTGGAAAAGAAAACAAGAATGTTAAGAACCTTGTTGAGGAAAATGTATCAAATCAGCGTTTTTTACAAAAAATTGACGTGTGAGGAATTTTTTAAACAGGGGTGAACAAAGACATCAATGGACTGTGCTCGAAGGGGAGCAAATTTAACTGAACGCATTGCGTTTGTAAGCCCACTGACGTATGAAGTGTGATCTACTGCTGGTGGGAAGGTCGAGGGAGAAACAAACTCACTTGGCAGTCGTAATGTCGTGCCATATATTAGCTCAGCGGTAGTACAACCAGCATCGGTTTTTAAGGCGTTTCGTATCCCTAGCAGAACTAACGGAAGGGATTCAGTCCAATGTGTGTTATTTGTAGCTGATAAACTAGCTTTCAATTGTCTGTGTAGAGGTTCTACCACACCATTAGCTTGTGGATGGTAGGCTGATGTTCGAATACGCATGTAAT